TTCTTTTTCAACATTTCTTTTCATAATTCGAAGCATTCCTAATTCTTTTTCGGAATTTTTGTAATTTGGAAAACATTTTAGAATTAGTCAAACTCTTTCCTTTTCGTAACTCGAAATACGTTAGAATTTTCTTTTTCTTTCTCGACATTTCTTTGAAATTCGAAACTGCTTGCAATTCATTCGTTTTTCTCTTCGAAAATTTTCAAAGTACGTTAGAATTAATTAAATTCTTTTTTTTTTTTCGATATTTTCTTTTGGAAATTCAAAAATAATTCAAATTAATTCTTTATCCCAGTATTTTAAATTCACAATTTCTTTTCGCAATTTTTGTTGAAATTCGAAACTCTTTTTTTTTACAAATCGGAAGCACTTTTCTTTTAGATGTTATTCTAAACCCTGCAATTAATTTCGACTAAATTCAATTTTAATTATTCTTTTTCTGAGATGTCGACAATTTCCTTTTTGAAAAATTCTTGCCAAATATTTTAAAAACTCCCTCTTCCGAATTCTTTTCAGAATCTTTTTATTTTTCTTTTTTTTCCCCGTAATTCGAAAATATTTTCTTTCAAAATTTCACGTTTTCTTGAAAATAAATTTAAATCAGAATTTATTCTATTTATTTATTTATTTTATTATTATTATTATTATTTTATTTTTGAAAAATTTTGGCGATTATCTTTATTTTTGAATAAATAAGGGATTCCCCCCCCCCCCACCCTCCACATGCCACCACGCCAAACCTAGAACTCCCAACGTGTTGCCGCCGCCGCCACCGCTGCTGCTGCATCTTCCACCCCGGTTCAGGCCACGTCCTCCACCCCCTCTTCCCCCGACATGGCCGCATCCTCCATCAACATGTCTGACATCCGCACCGACTCAGTCGATGGCATCGCCCGCAACCTCGCCGGCGAACAACCACCAGCAAACACCGCCACCGCCGACCTCTCTGCCATCCTCCACGCACTCAACTCCGTCACCGCCTCTCTCGACGACATAAAGGCCAACGTGTCATCCTTATGCGACCGCGTCACCACGCTCGAAGGGACCACCCCCCCCATCACGGTCGTCACCACCACGCAAACCACTCCAACCCCCACAGTGCAAACCACACCAACCCCCACAGTGCAAACTACTCCAACCTCCACAGTGCAAACCACTCCAACCTCCACAGCCTCCTCTAGCAACACCCCCCCGCCGACCTCCTCCACTCCTACCACCTCTACCGCCATATCCACCAACCCTTCAATCCCCACCATCGTTCCGTTGTGAGGAAGCCCGGGGAGGGGTCACCTACTGCTCACTGAAGCCAAGGGCAATGTCCCCTGTCACTCGCCGCGCTCGCTTCAGAGGTCCTCAGCGGTCGGTAGGGAGTGTTGTTCAGATCGTCACTCACTTCTCACTTAAAGTTGGCTTTTATGTTCCCCCACTGCACACTTAAATAATACGAAAAAGCAAAACAAAGAAAACAAAATGTACAAATCTGATATGAAAGTTTGCGACTCAAGCAAAATCAATGCCAAGGGTCTCTCCTCCAACACCCTGATTAATTCTTTTTTTTTTGTCAGGCATCGAGGCTGGTAAGGCCTTTCAGGACTGGTTCATTAGTTAGGGCTGCTTTCTCACTTGGCCACGTTTTTCCTCTTGGCACTACACTCCGTGGACATAGCCATTATCACATTACCGCAGTGACAGCAAGCATTCACCAGCTCAGTCACATGGGAAAATGTATAAATTTTGATAACTACGAAATCCCAACAGTGTAAACATCTATCTTGATACCCCCCTTTAGTGCCCAATGCCTGATCTTCTGTTGGGGATGCCTTCCAGTAATGATGACCAATAACATGTCAGCTCATTGAAATACAGTGCGAAAACAGGCTGCCCTTTCAAAACGCTGTTGGCAGCAATTATTCACCAGCTTAGCCACATGGGAAAATGTCAGAATCATGATAATCGCAAAATCCCAACGGTGTGAACATCTGTGTTGATGTCCCCCTTCAGCGCCCAATCCCTSATCTTCTGTTGGGGTTGTCTTMAAGTAATAGTGACCAATAACATGTCGGCACGTTGAAACATAGTGCGAAAGTGGACTTCCCTTTCAGAACGTTGTTAACGGGGATGGCTTTGCTCTCGTTGGGGATTACCCCAACCTTGCCCCTCTCTCTCT